TCTATGTATCTTTCTTTCTCTCTCTCTCTCTTACTCTTTCATACACACAAACACACACAATAAATGAATTACAACAAAAGAATACAATAATAAAGATTAAGTTTGCTTACACTATACTCATGTAAAAAGAGTAAGGATTTATTTATGTGGAACATTATTAAATAAAAATGTTTTAACCTTAATTTTCATATTGAGAACATAAAACCTGAGTGTTTTTTGTATACAATTCACAATATAAATATGTTTGTACTTCACTTTAAAATTAGATCTATACTTGGATCTATGATAAGAGTTTTAGAACAGAAACTTAGTGTTCTTTCTTTATATTTTAAAATGTAGTTGATAGACTATCAGATAATTGTCTTTTTTCTTTTAGATTTTTGTCAGAACATAGCCAACTAGTATGGAAATGTCAACTTTTTGTAGGACGTATATCTTTTAGTAATTTATTATCAGCCCTATATTTCAGTTTCTAACTTCATAACATAGAGTATTATGTTTCAATTTTAATACCCGAACAAAAACTATGGGAGTTATGTTAGCTAATAAGTTACGTTTCAAATGCTGATCTAAGAATTGAATATATGACGTCAGTTAGTGACTTATAAACAATGTAATGCATGGTAGAAATGTACGTTGATGACTTAATCACATTTTACATCATTACTATAGCTGCAACTTTGATCAGTTGGCCAAGATTGGTAGTAACAACTGAAACACTTGTTCATTTGGAATTTTATCATATCAACAAAACTAATTAGAGAGAGGTAAGATCAAAAATAATAACTTTCAGATCCAAGATCAAGGTCATTTGATGAACTATACCGCCTTCCTACAAACTGAAGACGGGAAGAAAATAGCGCACACCTCAAAAGTTTTCAGTGCATGAAATAATATTTGAGAAAGGCGACACCATAAAAATTACTATTCATAAATCGATTGTAAAATCAAAAACAAAACAAAACCATACAATTTCGAATGTCATTATTATTTAATATCTCAAGATGACACAGGTAAACATTCACTGTTACAGGGAGTGTTCACTCTCTATTGTCACATACATCTTAAACACATTATTGTAGGTCATTATATTCACTTTTCGTAATCTTTTAATTTCAACATTTGGTAAGATTTTATTGATCCTTAAATGGGGTTACCTTTAAAATGTTAATCAGAATAAGAATTAGCTAGAAATTTCTTTAAAAAAATGTATCTATAACGTGTTTACTGTTTTCCTAAAATTAACTCTATTTTTTACTACATTTGTAAAGTAACGAGAGTTTTCTCAGTATTAGACATTATAAAGTTAAGCTATATGTAATTTTAAGAAATCGATCATTCTATGATATATATATGAAAATAGATTTACTATTAATCAGCTAAATGAACATATCACATCGTCCATAATTATATGAAAGGAATGTCAGCTTCAAGACCTTCTTTTTACCATCATATTATTAAATAGCTTTGATTTTATTATCAGTAGAATCCTTATGTTTTACCCATCCAATATTAAATGAATGAAGAATAAATATTTAAGCAACTGTATGGATCGATTCATTGAAAAAGAAGCTCTTCACTTATAGTCTGCCGAAACGTTGAATTAATAAAGTATATTTTTTTAAAATCTACCATCCTAATAGCGCAAATGAATTTAAAGCTGTGTAAAGTTCGAATCTCCCTACCTTTCCCTGCATCAGATAAATGATTATAAATTCTCCCTATCATTAAACAGAATAGTTAGCACATATGTTAAAACAATTATATAATATAGTCTATCTTTCTAAGTCTATTTCAAAATAGCAAAGATGGATTAGAATTTTTTTTTAAATCGTCCAGTTCACAAATATCTGGAAAAAAAAGATTCCCAGTACTAATAGCTATGTTTAGCCTGATGTCCATGAATATTAATAATCAAAAGTTGACATTACAGAGATCCTATTTGAAACAAGTGGTTTCTAATCATTATTTATTTAAAATCTATTGTTTACTGTTTCTGTTGAATGATTCAATCTACTGAGTTGAGATAACAACTTATGATGTATGATGTTTATTAAAACCCAGTTTTTAAGTATCTAAGAAAGAAAAACGTGAATAGATCAACATAACTTTCATAGAATAAAAAGTTGATATTAAGAAAATAGTTACCAAGTGATTATTTTATGACATTAAATTATCAAAAATTTGAGGGTAAATGAAATATTTGGATAAGAAACTTTTAGAAAAAGAATAAACAGAGGAATTTTGTTACTTTAAATGAGATATTAAAAGAAGCATGTATCATTTGGAGAGCTACTGAAAAACTGTTGTTCACTAGCTTAGTCATAGATCATAGTAACAAGCTGACAAAGGAATCATATGTAGAATTTTCAGGTCTTGAGAAGAATGTTATAATCTTTCAGGATTGTCTTAAATCATAATTGTTCTATCAAATGTAAACTTTCTTAATAATAATAACTTATATACAAATGCTTTTAAAACTGAGACCAGGATATCTTAAATAACTGAGGTGAATTACACATGTCAGTTTGTTACTTGATACTATAGATACTACTATGAGTGAAACACAACTAGATAACCTTTGAAAGCAGAAAATACAAATATTGTTTTTAACTAATCACAAAAAAACATTAGGAAACTGATCTGAAAGAAGTCAGTGTTTTCCAATAAGTTATTATGATATGTAACTTAAATGTTGACCGAATCGTAAAAGGATTTCAAATTTCTAATACGATCTTATGAAACTGTCTGCTTATTCTGAACTGACTGATAATAAGTTATATTTTAAACCTCTCTAAAATTTCCTCGATATATTCCAATGATTCAATCCAAATTTTCATGACATTAAGATATTATGACAAATCAGCTACAGTTCTCATTGTTTAATACTGTTATCTGATAAGCATTCTGGTTCAATCCTATTTAATTGAAAGAGTTTTTTTGCATGGACTATTCTTGTTGTTATCATAGAATTAATTGTTAAAATTACCTAAACTTTTCTCAATACTCTACATAGTATATAACCTTCATCGTGAATAAATTAAGAACAATGCTAGAATATTGCTGACTCAAGAATGTGTCAAATTCAGTATACAACTTGTATTCAGATAATAAACCTAAGTAATAAGCTGAAATACAGGTGTTTAACTGTTAAAACTTATGGACAACATTATAACCAATAGGTTAAGCATAGCCTTATGTCATTATGAACTACGATTTAATCATACAAGTGAAAACAAGCAAGTAACAGTTATATATAATTTGTAAATTCATTAAGTAACTAATATGTACATGTCAAACAACTTTGTTTAAAAAGGAGAAAACGGACACCTAAAGGTTTGTTCGAATACATCGCAAAGATTCTACACATACATGAATAAAACAACAGTGATTTGTATTGCATATTAATTACAAAATGTACAGCATTATATTTATGCAACATATAATCATTGATCAGTTTATAATAGGCATAATAACTAACGAGGATAAACTTGGCTTTTGTGTTGGGAAATAATTCTGTTTTTCTTCAGATATATTTTTAAAGTAACCAATAAGTCTAATTTCGTGCTGAACACTTTTATGTACAGTTAGACTTTGCTTAAATGATCTCCCATCTCACACTTCTCAATACTAAACTTTGACTAGCAAACATTTTCTTATCATACTGTGTAGCATAAATATGTTTTAGATATTCCCTATTTACCATACCGCTTATATATATATATGGTTTACTAAACTTTCATTGTTTACCAAATGTTTCTGGCTCTGGTTATAAAAAACTTATAGATAAATTAATATTATGTAATACTTTCCAATCCTTCAATAGTTACTTATTTGTAAATACTTCTATGTAACTGGAAAAATATCACAAACATAACACTAATGAATACATCTTACATATCTAAATATACTACTACTATTACTACTTCGTCTTCGGAATAAAAGTATATACAATAAAATAAAATTACAATAAGTTAAAAATAGAAATGAATATTACTGAAGTAACAGAGAATTTCTCTGTCCAGCACCATTTGATATTCAAACATTTTCTTAGTTTATATCATGAGTTAATTAAAGCTAGATCATCATAGAAAACCTGGAAAAACCTAGTTTTAATTGACTTATGAATTCAACTATTACAAACATTATTATCATATTCACAAAACATCTACTCTGAAGTAAATATTCTATCATATTCACTCAGTACTATTTATCATTGAAAGTTATATGTTTTTTTTGTTTTCTTCATTACAAAATGAATTTTGTTGTTTTGTTCTGTCTTTTTTTTGGGGGGGGGGTGATTTAAAACTATTTCAATAAGGAAAAACCAAATTAAACAAATCTATAAACTATTATGACGGATATAGGAAAGAGAAAAGATTCCTTGTCAAAAATCTTCAATAAATTAAAGAAATAAAAACCCATAGACTGGATGAAAAACAACCATACCAACAACAACAAAATTTGAAGATAGTTTTCATTGCAAATATACATTTATTGTAGAAAAATAAAGAGGTAAATGAGTTTCAACACGTAATTATTCAAGTTATAAAAATTTTGAAAACAAAAACAGTATTGAGAAAGTATTTCCACAAAAGATTAATTGATGAGACTTTAATTTATGGACGACTTTTGAGCGGTGCTAAATTGACCTTGACAGTGTCCACCGAATAACTAGAACCAAATGACGATTGTAAACCAGTGTGAGAAATTAGAATTATGATTTACAATTGATGATTAAGATTAACAATTAGATTTAAAGTTTTCATCATGAATTGACATCAGTTATAATACCATGAATCTATTTAGCCAAATGAATAGATGAATTTTGCACCAAAATCCAAGACCTATCATTTTATACCTGATTGATTTGTTCATAAATGATAGTCTCATCGATTCATTCACTTAGAAACAAAATAACTACATTTAATCTTAAAGAAAAACAAAACAACAACAACAAAATACATATAATAATAATGATAATAACATTTATAACTTACCCATCTAGAATATGGATGATAATATTTCATTGATATATTATATCCTGATCCTAAACTCTCTTCATAATGAAATAAAATTAAATGGATTAATAGAAAACTAATTTTTCTCAATTTAAATAAACTCCAAAATGAATTAGATAATTCAATGAATTGCATGAAATTGAATGATTGATACCTTTTTTTTGTGGTTGCTACATGAAAAGATCTAAATACATTTTTTTTATTAATTAATTATGAATATTAATAATAGTTAAAATGATAATAGAATTAGTTCGTTTGTCTTTTTATTTTCTGTCTTGTTTTTCTTTTTTCTTTATTTGTTGTTGTTTTTGTTTTTTTTGGTTTTTTTTTGAAAATTGAAACTATGTAAAGTTTTATATTGAATATATTACTTGATAATCACTATGCGAAAAAATGATGTGATATTCATTATATCTATAGTATAAATTGACTTCATTTTGTTTAAAACAAAACATATATATACATATATATGTGTATTTATTTATATGATAAAGTTGACACCTATATCAGTTAAATGAATTTCAACTGTACTATACTACTCGTATATTCAGTGTTATGATATTTAAGATGAAATTTTAATATTGATGAAAAGTTAATTAATAATTAACCAGTTATGAACCAATCATTTATGAATAATAATAATAATAACATGGATTACGGTACATTACATATATACAATCCCATAATGTTTTACATTTGACAACCAGATTATATATGTATACATATACATATTATATAAGGGTAAAGATGGAAAATGATAAGAATTATATACATACATTAAATTCACTGGATAGATAGATAGATAGATAGATAGATAAATATAAACAAAATAAGTTTATTATAGGTAGTTTAGATTTTACTAGAAATTGACCTGTTTAATGACAAAATGTATCACGTGGTTATCATATTTGTACAATGTGAAAGGATAAATATAATATAGACGAATTTGTAATAATGTTATCATTATGAAATTAATTGTGGTTTCTTCCTTCTCTTTCAAGGAAGCATTTCAAAGAAAACTAATCTATGGAAGATTAGTGGTTTAAGATTGTATAACTAAAAGTTTTATGAAATTATTTCATTTCCAATATTTATAACTATCAATATGTTCTCAGTGATATTTTAAAAATAATTAAATGAGTTCCATTTTTTTGAGCAATTCAAGAATGATAATATTCGCAAAATATGGTGAATAAACTATATTTTGTAATGACTGTGTTTCGTTAACTAATCACCCTCGTAACCGTTACCATATAATCCTCAACGGTGTTTGAAATCAAAAGTCAAAGAGAAGCAGCGACTACAGTTTTATTAGCAGATAACTCAGACCACAAAGTAGTGAGGCGAATGAGTGAGTCAGCGAACCGAGAGAGTAATGTTAAATGTACATGTATATATATATAGGGAAATAAATAGATCATCGAATCAATTAAGCAGTCAATAATAAAGCTAGCAGAATGAATATATGCATAGGCGGTAAACAATGTTCGAGCATACATATTTCATACAAGCATAACAATACATACAATAATTTCTTATAGTACGAATGACTTTGTCCGCTAAATAAGTAAACAAAAAGGCTTAACTGAGTTAAATGAGAACAAACTCAATCGCACTTGAGTTGCTGTAATTTGATTGCTTTTTCTTCAACTATACTCAAGCTGAAAAATTTCTCTCCGATTTGAAAATTGGTACTAACAAATGGGTTTTTTGGAGTTAGTTTTTTTAACCGGTTTTCAGTAATTGTTTGGAGTAATATTTTACCTTATATTATTGAATAATATAACAAATATTCTATAAAGATAAACAGGTCATATATATATTTAACTCACTAAACTGTAACTACAATTAATTGGAAAAATAGTAGAAGATGAGGAAGAAGAAGAAAGGATCAAATGCTTAACTCCTCTTTGTTACCAAGACAGTTATGGATTAACCACAGACTCTTTTTGAATACAACGATAAGGTTTATAGTAGTTCTCTTCAGTGATAATGTGCATGACATCAAAATGTATACTGAAGTATATCACAGCAAAAATGTAAACGGTACTTTTTATAAAATAAATTCAGATAGTTTAATAAACGGTAATTGCATTATAAAACCTGAAGATTTTATACTTTTATAATACATTGGTCATTATGTTCATGTAACTAAAAATTCGAGTCCCACTTGAAGGATCGTAGATGAGCACTGTTGAGGAGTACCATACTAGGACGAAACAGCCTATCTTAGATCAACTCATGGATTCAACTATTAAAATAAAAGTAATTAGTCATTGGTTTTATATGGAAATATGTCCAAATAACTTGATTAATCATAAATCATTTTAATTTTAAATGTTATTAGCTTTAATTTAAAATAACGTATTATTGTTTATTCTTAAAGTCTATTTTTTACTTCTCTAGTAAAATAATAATAAATGGTAATAACTAAAGCATTATTGACCCCCCCCCTCAAGCTGATGGTAAACGTCTAAACTGTCTTAAAACCACGATACATACATTGATATAAGGTTAAAATCTAATCGGAATAGGATATATGTCCCTGAATTCGTAGTGCATCTGCTTCACATCGTTCAATGAATGTACAACTTCTAACATCGTCCTGTTCAATTAATTAGTAAATACTGTATAAGAAAACGTAATTCTCAAAGATAGAATTTCAAGCTCTAAATTTCATGCTTTTTACTTTTCATCATTTAGCAAGTTGCTATGCGCTGTAGTGTGCTCATAGAAGATAAATGTAGATGACATTAAATAATTAAAATGAAGTTTCTAGTAAAAAAGTAAACTGATATTAGCATCTATGATGCACTGAAAATGTTAGATATCACACTTTTATCAATGTTAAAAGTTAGGGTAAGTAGTTATAGTTAGAACTTTTATCAGGAACTGACATCAGTTATGATGCATTTACCCTAACCTTCATATTTCTATTTGAAGTCTTAATACAGTAAATCACAGATCTATGTTCCCTTCCTCCTAATTGGTTAAAGAGGTCAGGATCTAAAGGTCGTTAGGCGATAAAGCACAGCCTCACTGAAAAAATAACAGATGTGTTTAAAAATAAACTGATACAATTTTCATGGTCAACGACTTGTCCAATAATTTTAATTAATAAATAAGAATCTCGTATAGTCCATGGTGTATAATGAATATGAAATTATGTATATGTAGTGAGAAGCTCGTTTTTGTTGATCTTGATCATAAAGCTGTATAATTATAATTTTATCTATGTTTTTCCACCTATAAAGACTAAAGTCTATTTTAGTAGACTATTCCTATAAAACATCAACTGTAAACACAGTACATAGAATATTCTAACTCAAAGGTACAAAGAATCTCTGAATAAACTAATAGCAATTAAAAACCTAGTGCTTACTAAACATGACAAAGGACCAGGATAAAACAGTCTACATAAATAAAATGAATACAATACTCAGAAACCATAGCGAATCTCAGAAATCGTCTTCTATGAACGACCCCAAAGAAAAAACGGAACGACAGTTGTCTTAATCATTAAATGATCTGAAACAAATTTATATACAATACTTAAACACACTGGTACGGCAACATCGAGATTTTATGGTCAACTGAAAGTACGAGAAAATGGTTTAGCGCTTCACTCAGTCCTAGATATGATCAACTCACCTTACTATGCAACCACAAAATGGCTCGTTGAACTTCTTAAGCCTCCACACGAAGTCGTAAAGCATAGTGAAAAAGGTAGTTTTGGATTTGTTGGTAGAATAAGAGACTTGAAGATGAACAAGAAATTCATCATATCGCTTGATGTATCATCATTTACAAACGTGCATAACATAGAAACAGTTGATTTCATATGTAGTGAGTTACAAAATCGAGAAGTGGAAATCGGCATTCCGGTCTCCTCTTTAAAGTAGTCAATACTCAAATGTAATATCAATAAACATTTGTTATTCACTAAAGAGCTCTACATACAATGCGACGGTGTCGCTATGGGATTAACATCCGGTCTAGTCCTCGCTCATTTCATTCTGGAAAAATTATAAAACGATCCTCTAAAAAGAGTGATAGGGAAGCCAGAATTTTATTGTTGCTATGTGAATGATACATTTATATTTACAAAAAACAACACTAAAGCTCACAGCCTTCCAGAAACATTTAATAGAGTCTACCAAGCAATTGCAACAATAGGAGAGCAAACGTACGACACCACATCCTTTCTAGATGTCCTATTGACGAGAAAACCGATGAACCCATAAGAAAAGGTGTTCATCGTAAACCGACCACATAAATCTAATGTACACATTTTTCTAGCTCTGTCCTATTACAATATAAAAGAAACTTAGTCAAATGTCCGAACCACAGAGCCAAAATTATTTGTTCTGAGAATTTTCTTGGAGAGGAACTAAAACCTATCCAGGATTTATTACGTAAGCAAAGATACCCATCAAAGTTCTTAACGAAACGTACGTCTGTAAATAAACCTAAAGTAAAATCGTTGACAGTACCAAAACAGCGTATATTCTTGAAATTGCAGTTCAAAGGTGATATATCCAGCAAAATAATAACTCAGTTCATACAAAAGGCCTTAGAATTTACATTCAGTGCGGCTTGATTATATCCTACTTTCTTCAACCAGCCAACAGTGATTTCATGAAATCAAGATGAATGGCCTAGTTCTTCTGCTTCTATGTATATTTACAATTTCAACTTCTACCGTGAAGTACAACTAGACAAATGCATCATCATATGTCTCGACATCGTCCTTCGTGGTTGACAAGAGGACGAAAGAATGTAATAAGAAGCTCTGACTTCGTGCATCAAGTCAATACTCGTCACCAAATTGATAGAACTTCAGAGTTCAAAGGCATTTATAAAATCTTACCGAATTTACCCTATGGTTCCAGAATCTGACTCTCGCATGTCGCAGAAGCTATAGGTATACATATCAAAAACCTAACCTTTGTATATAGAAAAAGCTTATAGAGCCTTGAAATCTACCCTTGCTTTCTACTAAGATACCTTTACATATTTCAAAACCTTTCTTTTCCTTCTCTTAAAACATTTTCCGAACCTCAATTCCATCAACATTATAATTTATAATTCTAATCTTACGTGACATATTTATTAATCATATTATCTGATTTTCGCTTCACCCATCCTACTAATTACTTTTCAGCAATTTCACAGATAACCAAATACATTTTAATTATGTAACTATTTGTAATGAATAACTGATTACGAAAATTCACTTTGTAATTTCCAAAACTCCATGTAACTGATGATTATTTTGTTAAACTGACTCACCAGCATCTAATTGGTATTGAGTTTTTACTCACTTATAAAACATAGATTTTATTTAAATAGAGCAAGAACAAACATGGATGCAGAATAGTATGAATTCATATTATTTCGAGGTTTCTCGTCAGCTGCTTACAAACCAAAA